TGCGTGAGCAGTGGGTAAGGGTGGTCTTGCGTGAGCAGTCGGGAAGGGTGGTCTTGCGTGAGCAGTCGGGAAGGGTGGTCTTGCGTGAGCAGTGGGTAAGGGTGGTCTTGCGTGAGCAGTGGGTAAGGGTGGTCTTGCGTGAGCAGTCGGTAAGGGTGGTCTTGCGTGAGCAGTCGGTAAAGGGTGTCTTGCGTGAGCAGTGGGTAAGGGTGGTCTTGCGTGAGCAGTCGGGAAGGGTGGTCTTGCGTGAGCAGTCGGGAAGGGTGGTCTTGCGTGAGCAGTCTGGCGTGTGCATCCGGAAAGGGAAGTGCCCTGCTGTTAGGTGCCGAAGAAAACTGAGGCTGGGGAGGGGGCTTTGGAGGAAGGGAAGAGTGAAGCAAACTTCCCAACTACAAATACCAGTTACTCTGAAGACCTTTGTTCCCCTTTCTTTGGTGGTTCTAAGCAGACTGTTGGCATGGTCTTCGTTGCAGTAAAGTGATGAATGACAGGCATCTTTTTTATTGAAAAACAGGAGAAAAGCCCGGAGTCGCAAATAAGATACTTGGATTTTCTGTACTGTTGGCTGATTGAAATAAAGTCCTAATTAGTTTGATACAAGTGTTTGAAAAACGGGACAGTACAGATTTACAAAATTAATAGACATCATTCCATTCCAAAAATAAGCCTAGAATTGATTTTTGACAAAGTTGCTAACTAAAGTTCTAGAATACTAAAGTGGTAGGGTTTTTTTTTTAAATCCTTTTATTTACAGAATTTTAGTAATGACTGCTAATGTCAAATCCTATCTTTCACCATTGACTACTACAGTTAACTCAAGGGCACTCTTTATCTCTACAAAAACTGTATTTATACAAATGTAGTACTGACAGCACTATATTATTGATTCCTCCTTATTTCACCTTGCGTGCTTTAAGTATATGTTCACCGATATTCATTTTCCTTTGAAGGATTTCACTATGGATTGTGGAATTTGCTATGCTTATCAACTGGATGGTGTAATTCCTAATCAAGTGTGCGATAGCCCCCAGTGTGGACAACCTTTCCATCAACTATGCTTATACGAGGTAAAAATAAATGAAAGTAACACCAGCAGCGCTTCTCTCTGCCAACACTTAGCACAGGAAGGCTGCAGGCTCAATTGCACAGAACTGAAAATCTGTTTAGTAAATAGCAACCCTCTTCTGCCAGGAACTCCTTTACCAGTTTTTTCCACGTGAACATGTGCTTAATTTTCTCATCATGGTTACTAATTAGTGAAGAAACCTTCTGAAATGTAGCAGCCCCCAAACGTAGGAAACGCATCCAGAATATTCTCGGGAACTAGCTCCCTGACAACTCAAGTGGACGGTCCCTTGTGCTCTTGGAGGGAGCGGCTCAGGTAGCGTCCATGACAGCACTGCAGACTCTCCCTCCAGGCGGTGGGCGGTGGGGCTGGTCAGAAGAAGAAAGGGAAATGGAGTTTACAAAGCAGCTGCTTTCCAGGGAGGACTTCAGCATCCATCAAACGAAACAGCCCCACTTCTGACATGGAGAAGAATGCACTGGTCCACGCGAGCCTTCCCTGCACACGTAGGCAGACCCGTTTTATTTACTGTGCATTTACCGTCTCTGCTGCTGCCCTGTCTTTCTAAGTCGTTTGGTCCCTGTACAAACTACCCTGGCGCAGTTGGTATATGATTGATTATACATGGATCGATATAGTTAACGCCTTGCCTTATATAGAGCTTTCAGTTTTCTTTCAGTAGCCTTTTTATTTTTGTGATTGTTGTTAAAGAGAGCAGCGAGTGTCGTCTGCACTTCACAATGGGAAACTTAGGTACTGGAACATAATTTGCTTTACATAAAATCATAAAATACCGGGGCCAATTACAGAGCTCCTCTAAGGGAACATGTACCTCCTTTTGCAATAATGAAAGTTCATTTAAGTTTTTAAGAGGGGCTGCCTCCTGCCACTGCCTCAAGTAATTTGTGGAAGGAGATTTAATCCATTGTTGGTGATGAAGGAAAGGCCAGAATCAAGGCTTACATTTGCAAGGTCCCCTGGTATCATTTAGAGCATGAGCTCTCAAGTTCTGCCTAGTGGATTTAGGGAAGGTCTGTGTAGATCCCAATAGAATTGTGTGCATGGCTTTTGTATTCATTTAAGGATAGGGAAGATACATACCCTTCACCAAGTTCTTCAAAAGGCCCATAGTTTAATGAAAACCAGGTAGTCTCCAGCTTAGAATCCCATGCTGACTTCTTCATGTTACCCAGCATCTCATTAGTCTGATACTGGTTTAGAAAGGTAGCCCTGGATCTTCAGAAGCATAATTAAGAATGTTAATCTTCCGGCTTAAAAAGCTACTGCATTCAAAAGGAAAGCAAAGCTCTTTGGGCTTTCTACTCTTTTTTTTTGGGATCATTTTGACACAGTGGTCTTCTCTTTTCTCGTTCTCAGTGGCTAAGAGGACTGTTGACCAGCAGACAGAGTTTTAACACGATATTTGGTGAATGTCCGTATTGTAGTAAGGTAAGGAAACTGTTTATCACCTTCGACAGAGTCTGCCTAGGTTTTAGAGGACATCTATATAGCATAGCAGATTACTGAAAAGTTTAAAGTTTTTCTCTTTTCTAAATTTTTAAGATAATACGAAGGAAAGTTTCCATAAGATAAATTGTCTTTATCAATAACGTAGCTTTCAGATTTCCTGTTGATCAAAATAAGGTCAGCCACTGTTTGCCTCAAGATCAGTAGTTCAAATCTCTCAGCCCTTCAGGCTAGAGCTGAGGCTTTCTGTTGCATGGATGGCTGCAGACACAGGAGCCCCCGGGGCGAATCCCCTGTCCTCTGGGGTCGCTGAGTCCAGACTGACTTCCTAGATGAGCTGACACTTCACAAGATTATTTTTCAAACTGCAACATGACACCGTTTCTAGAATGAAGCAATTTAATTTTAGAATGTTTGCTTTGTTTAAAATCTATTCTCTCTTTTATAAGCCGATTACGCTGAAAATGTCTGGGAGGAAACCCTGAAAAGAGACCGCAACACTTTTGTGAAGAAAAGGGGCCTTTGGAAATTACCAAAAGGATTTTATTTGATATCCTCAGAGTAAATATAAAGCAAGAAATATTAACATCAAAAGAAAAAGTATGAGTAAGCTGTAAAAATACACCTGCGTCGTGGCCTCTTCACTGTGGGTCAACTGGGAAGGACTTTTGAACTCTGCCACCTCGGTGCCCAGCGTGGAGGAGCCAGGCCCATCCCAGACTGGAGGTCTTGCTTGGCTGTTCTTATGTGCCCTGGGGACAGCTTGAGGGTATTCACAAAATGGAGTTGGGGGTTGTATACAAATATATTTTTGCCGGGAATTTTTCACTTCGTTCAGACATTCTTGCAGTTCATGATATTTTTGTCTTCTCCTTGCACTTTCCTAAGAAAAATACGTACAGTTTGTTAACTTTGAGTCATCCAAGTACTGGTGTTATCTGCTGTTCGGAGATGCTCATCAGCAAAACTCATTCTACACCATCAAGATGTTTGTGGTTTGCATTTTTCCTGATAAATTATTTTTGAGGTAGAAACCCTGGGTTTTTGCGTTTGTGCTCTCTGGCATCCAACAACCAACTTGTTCAGTTGGATTGGTTCTTTAAACCATATACGGTAGGCTGATTCTTAATTAAAAAGGGATAGACATCTAACTAGAAGATTTTAAAAGTATTACTTTTAAAAGTTAACTTCAAGTACCTGGAGCTGAAGCTGATATATTCATCTAAAAGTAGGCGAGGCTATTCAAGCTGACAGCTTGGCAAGGCGGAAATGCAAACGAGGCTTGATCTTACGGGAGTGAGGCAGTCCTAGACAGAGAGCTTTTGGATAGTTATATTCAGTATAGCGAGCCTCGGCATTTTGCATATCCTAGAAATGGATTTTCTCTGTATACTGAGTTCAGGATAAGGCCGAAAGAGCTGGAGGAACTGTCCCAGGAGCGGATATTGTGACATGCTTTTTCAAAGGCTCCATGTACAGACCAATCATTATAGATAGTGACGAAACACAAAACTGCCTAAAGTGGGAGCAACCAATATGTGAAGGTGAATGGATAAATAAACACCTGATTTAACACCACTGAAGAGAGAAGGTCAGTGAACTTTGAGGTCAGATGAAAGAAAATATCCACACTGAAACATAGCGAGCTAAAAGATTGAGTATTAAAAACAAACCTCGCCTCAGATATTTTCTGGAAAACAACATCAAGCATCCTAACAACACATCTTGGGGTCTGAAGGTAGTGGGGAGTAATAAGGGATGAAACACATGGAGAAGATGGGAGTGAGTACGTCCCACCATCCAGTTATCCCCACAAAGTACACACACGCAAGGATCAGAACACTCCAAGTTGAAGTCAAGAAAGCAGAATGGCGGGGGACAATGGGACAAGAGGGGTGACCTAGCAATGAGTTGCCTACTCCCTCCTATCACCCCACCTCCCACCCCTTATTCTGGTGCCTCCAGTGTCTCCTGGCCTGGGTCCCAGGGCAACCTACAATCCATCTGGGAGGGCCAACTAAGCAAAGGTCCAAGAAGGAGAAAGTTCTACAAGACACATTTAAAAAAAAATCTTCATCCTGAGAAGTTCTTTATAGGTCAGATCAAGTCATACCAAATTATTTTCCCAGATCATTGCGGTACCATGTTTTTAATATCTGCATGAAAAACGTTGGCTGTAAGAGCACTAGTAATTCAAGTATGGATAACCCGCTACCCTCAAATACTACCAAAACATCAGAGAAGTGGTGATATAATATAGTGAGAGGCCATCAGAAACCCAACCATGACCGCATGTCCCATCAGGAGTCACCAGTACTGGGACCCGTGGAAGAGCGAGCACAGGAGACTCCTGGCGATACCTGCGGCGAATGTGTCCCCAGAGGGTCACTAGAATTATCATCCTACTTAACTTCTTTTTTTAATGCTTCATTTTGCTTTGGGTGAAATTGTACCTGGTAAATTAGCCTTTCAGCCAGTACTTCATACAGGAGCTGTTCCTCAGTGACACTGCCTGCAGTGTGTCAGCACTCTCCATTGCACCCGCTCCCTCATCCCACTGGTCCAGCACAGAGCTCTTGGCTCTCCCTGCTGCAATCCAGAGGCTGCGGAGCTGGTGGGGGGGAGCCTGGGGAAGACTAGCACCACCCTGCACTAAGCAGGCAGCAGACGTAGACGTCCTCCCTGGGTGGCGGTGGAGGCCTCAGGACCAGCTCCACACTACTAAGGTGGCGCCCTGTCCCCCTGAGTTGTAGAGATTGTGAGGCAGGGTCCTCCTGTCTACCACTCCCACCATACATGATGGGCGTGTGGTCTCTTTCCCTCCACTGCAGACACTAGAGAGACTAGTGCACAGGGCATCCTCCCAACTAGATCACCCCGCTCTCCAGAATCGAGATCACTACTAGAGCAAATTAGCAAAGACGAGAAGAACGGAGTCGCGGTAGACCCCAGTGGGACACAACTGATGTCAGAGCACTTCACCTCAACCCACAGGCGGTTGGGGACGTGACCTTTGCCAGTGCACTTGGACCTTTCACCAAGATGTAGGCCACATCCTCATGGGACATAAAATACACCCTAGCACAACAAAAATTGAAATTATACAAATTACCTCATTAGACTACAAGAAACTTAAAGTAGAAATCAGTAATAAGATAATCTATCTTTGAACACTTGAAAATATACAGTACAAGCCTATGAAACCCAGGAGGGAAAACAAAATAAAAACATCGAAAAGAAAGTATTTTGGAACTGGATGAAATGAAGATAGACCATATCGATTACACAGGATGTATGTAGTCAGAAAAGGTAGGGCATTTATAGTGTGAAATGCTTATTTTTTTAAAAAGGGATTCAATTGGAATATGCTAAGGTTCCAACCTAAACTAGAAAACGAACCTAAATCAAGATGAAGGAAGGAAATCCTAGGTAAAGCTCCGGATACTGGAAAATAACATATTTCTAAATGGGTCCTAAAGGAGTTTCAGGGGGGAAACACACACGACTGAACTGAATGAAAATCAAACATTAAAATATGGTATATGCCTGGTGCAGTGCTTAGAGGAAAATAATACTTATTACTTAGAAAAAAAATCTGAAGTCAATCATCCAAATTTCTTTTTTTTTTTAAACGAAGAATTTTTTTTTTGGACTCAAAATAGTAAATTTAAGTTAAGAAAGTGATGATGGCAACATGTGTACAAATATGCTTGAAACAATTGATACGGAATGTTATCCGTATTTGTAAGAGCCTCCAATAAAATGATTTAAAAATTGTAAAGGTGCAACCGAAAAAAATCTAAATTTCAACCTCCAAAAACAAGGGGGGGGGGGGAGAGAAGTAATTCCAAAGCAAGCACAAGGTGGCTATAAAGTATAGAAAGCAATGAAATTAATAGAAAAATAAAATCAACCTAACAAAAAAAACCCTTGGTTCTGTGAAAAGATCAATAAAGTGGTCAACCTCTAGCAAGACAAAAAGGGGAACACAAGACTGTTGCTACAGGAACGAAACTGATCTCTGCAAAGCCTGTGCACATTCAAGGGTTTAATAAGAGAACACTGAACAGTCCCACGTCCACACGTCTGACACCTCAGATGAAATGGACCAGTTCCTAAAACCACAAATGACGACAAGAGGTTGAAATAAACGGAGATTGGCAAACTGTTCAGAGGATCAAATTCAGCCAACCCCCTGCTTCTTTATAGGCCACCAGCTGATGATTCTACATTTCTAAAAGGTTGGGGGTGGGGGTGGGGGGAACAAGTACTTTATGGCACTTGTTAAGTAGGGAAATTCAAATTTTAGTGCTATAAATAAAGATTTACTGGAACTCAGTCAGACTCACTCATTCATGTATAGCTGCTGTCATCCACAGTTCAGAGTTGAATACTTGGGAGTACGCCCACTCCTGAAGTAGGTCACTGAAATCGCCTTTTGAAAGGGATTGGTTTGTGGCTGCACACCTTTGGCAGGGGGCGTGGGGGCGGGGGGTTACAGGTCAAGATGTGCCATTGATGAGCCTCTACTAACGTTTAAAGAAGAAAAGATAGCAGTGCAGTACTCCCCTACAGACACTGGAAGGGCAGTGTAGACTTTCAAAGTCATTGTTTGAGGCCACATGACACTACTTATAAAAACCGACAGACAGTGGGGAAGAGGAAACTACCGACTAACAGCCCTCGTGAACACAGATGCGAAAGTCCTGAACAGCCTAGCTGACCAGTTGCATCCAATAGTATATACAAAGAGTAATATGCCATATGGACAGGCGCTTTCAAATTTGAAAAATTAACACCATCCACCATCTCAGTAGTCTAATGAAAAAGCTACATGATCATGTCAGTTAATACTGCAGCAAAGCCCTTGACAAAACCCAACACTCAGCTGATGACACTTCAGTACACCAGAAGAAGGGGACGGCTTTAAACCTGACAAAGCGCATCTAGACTTCTATAGTTAACATGCTGCTACTGCACGATGAAAGGCTGGGTATTTTCTGCCAAGGATCAGGAGCAAGCGAAGGATGTCTACTCTTGCATTCAACATAGTATTGGGAGTCCTAGTCAGTCGGGGAAATAAGGCAAGAAAACCAAGGCACACACACTGGAATAAATGTGGTTTTTCCTAATTGCAGATGATAATATTGTGTATATAGAAAACTCCAAGAGATATAAACAAAAACTCTTGAAATAATAAATAGGCTTCGAATGTTGCAAGCTATAAGTTCAACACTTAAAACTTAAAAAACTTCAAACTTTTAAAACAGCACTGTTAACCGGAAACCAGAAATACAATTTTTAATACTTCCAAAATTGAAATAGGCATAAATCCAACAAAACATGACCTGGTAAAAACTACAAAATACCAGTGAAAGAACCTAAATGTAGAGACAGAAATTCATGATTTGTAAGACTAAAGAGAGTGAAAATGTCAGTTCTCCCCAATTGACCTACAAATTTAATGCAATTCTTAGCCATTTCCAGCTGGAATCATTTTATAGTAGAGATGTGAGTTCTAACGTGGAAAAGCAGAAGAACTAGAATAGCGCAAATAATTTTGAAAAAATAATAAAGTTGGGAGAATGATGCCTACCCAGTGTTGTAATATTGATGCTTAGACACAGTACCCAAGACAGGGTGGTAATGGGGGGGACGGGGGATTGCTGGTGGTGGACGGATACTCACCAAGATCAACGTAACAGAATTAGAAACAAGTATAGTCAACTAAGTCTTGCTAGGAGTACAAAATAAATGACAGGGTAATTTTTCAACAAATTAAATTGGATATCCACAGACCAAAAAAGGAAAACACCTTCAACTTAAGCCTTATACCTTATATAAAATTAACTCAAAAGCCAATCACAGATTGAAATATAAAATTCCTAAACTTATCGAAAGGATAGAATTTTCTTTCTTATTTTCCCCCCAGTTTAAACAAGAGTCAGACATAACACCAAAACCACAATCTATACAAGAGATCAGTAGGTTGGACTAAATGCACTTGAAACTTATAGCAAGCTGTGCCATGTGCTGGTCATGAAACATGTTTTAATGATTAAAATAATGCATATGTTTTGATGAGAACAGAATTAAATTACGAATCAGTGAACCCAAATTCTCCAAAACATTTTGGAATTAATGGACATCTAAAACAAGCATAGGTCAATGAATAATTCAGGGAAAATTAGAAAATATTTTTAACAATAATGAAAACATAAATCAGAATTTGTGGGAGTATAGATGAAGCCATTCTTAAGAAATGTTCAGTTTTAACTTCATTTTTTAGAAATAATTTTAAAGGTTTAAAATAAAGGACTAAAGTTTCTACCTTATTTGCTTGGCTTAACTAGAAAACAGATCAATGGGAGATAAGAAAAAATACCAAGAGTTGGTGTGTGTGTGTGTTCATTCATATATGAGGGGGTACCCCCCAAAATGGAATCCCCCCCCCAAAGCTATGTACTGTATATACTCATGTATAAGCTGGGGACATACAGTTTTTGTGGTATATGCCGTTTCTGTGGTAATTAGGTGCCTTGACTGATATTCGTGTTGGCTTACACTCGAGTATATACGGTATTTAAATTTCTTTTACAAAGCAACCTTATCATCTTCAAAGTACTCTCCATTACACTTAATACATCTGTCAAATCTGAGATTCCATTCTTGGAAACATTTTTCAAACTCATCTGTTTGGATGTCTGACAGCACCTCCCTCGTTTTTTTCTTCACTTCTGTGTCAAATCACTGCCCTTTCATGTCCTTCTGCATTTGTGGAAACAAAAGTTGCACGGAGAGAGCTCAGGTGACTAAGGTGTGTGGGGCAAGAAAGGCACACTGGTTTTTTGTTGTTTTTTGCCCCAAACTGGCACATTGAGCTGGCTGCATGAGCAGGTGCATTGTCATGGTGGCAAAACCAGTCCCCCATCTGCCAGAAATCAGGCCTTTTTTGTCACACTGGCACACAATCTTTTCAGAACCTATAAATAGAAAGCTTGAGTAACAGTCTGACCTGGTAGAACAAACTCTAAATGCACTAAGAGCCGACATTTTTGTCTCTTCGAGAAGTTGACAGACATCCAGAACAAGGTTTGTCATCAATGGACATGTCACCTTTTTTGAAATGAGAAAACCATTCATAGTTTTTCCCATAGCGCTGTCCTTGTAAGCTGTGTTCAACATCACAACAGTTTCTGTGGCGTTTTTCCCAAGCAGGAAACAAAATTTCACAGCCACACGCTGTTCTTTGAAATCGGCCATCACAAAAAACAAGGTTTGAGTGAAACTGCTTTTACATTAAATTTCACGTGACCAGAGAGAACCTTCCCAGGCGACACCACTGGATGCACTAACTCACAGTGAGTTGTTTGGGGGGCACCCCTCATACATGTGAGGGGTGCCAGCATGTTCACAGCAGTACTCACGGTGGCCAGAAGCCATTGCCATCCCAGTGTCCATTCATCGGAGACTGGACCCGTACATTGGGAAGCAGTCAGGCAGTGTTGTACTCAGCCAAGAAAAGGAAAACCACCACAGATCGTGGAAAAGCACAGTGAGCCCGACACAGGCGTACGTGTTGTGTGTGTATGTGACGTCCATCCTCAAAGGAGCAAAACCCGCGATGAGAATCAGGACAGTGGCTGGCCCCAAGAGGACTGGGGGAAGGAGAAGCGGGTGGAGAAAGGTGGTGAGGCCTTCCCAGGTGCTGTCACACCACCCTTTCACCCCACCTCAGATGATGGGAATCCTTTCCTTGTTTCGGATCTCCCTGGTCCTTCCCTGCCCCAACACACCAGGGATTCGGTGCACACGAAGAGTGGAGAAGGAACCCATGCACCACGCAATTTTTGTCTTTCAATGAACAAACGGGAACTGTAGAATATAAGTAGATCCCCTGATGTAAATTGAGCAATAGCACAAAAAACAAGGAATGATGCTGTTATTGTTTTATAGCAGTATACACACAGAGGACTGATTGCGGCTAAAGATGCACGTCTCCCTCTGTAAACTTAAAATGGAGAAAAACCGAAAACCCTGAATGCTGCCACTAGATTGTTTTCTACGAGGATGATTACAAAGAACGCCTTCGAGTGGTCCAAGGCCATCTCTCCTTGCGGACCAACCTGTGTGCCTCTCTGCTTGCATGAGAGAGGCCCACCTATCGCACGCTGCTGCTCTTGGGCCACCAAGAAATTCAGACCGGAACCCCGCGCTCAAGTCTAGAGAATAACATGCCAGATGCACAGCATACGGTTCTCCTTAGGGGGAAGGGTGGTATCATCCTGTTTCAAAATGTGAACTACCTCAAATAAATTAGGGGAAATGATAGGTAAGTTAATCACACCAAATGGCACTTTGAAAAGAAAAAAAATTGTTTTTTCACCACAGATATAATAAATACATCGTCTGTGTCTCACTCTTATCAAAAAGGGTTAGAATGGGAAGGATTTTCGCCATTGCCCGAGTAGGTTATCTGCTAAAGGTGAGTAACCATCTGCCCAAAGGAGAGCCTGATGCAAAGACTACATCCTTTTAAAATACCATATTGACCGAGAGACACTTCACTTACATTTGATTATGCAGGTTGGACTCGAGGAACCGATGTGAAAGTAAAGAATATGTTAAGAGTCCCTCCCTAATGGATCGTAGACGGCACGGCAAGATTTAAGTGCACTTCATTACATTCTCAGGAGGAAGACAGAGGCCCGATCTGCACGCAGATGCGCTCAGTACCTTTCTGTTTCTATGATGAAGGGTGTCGGCGGCTTTGATTTTTTTTTTTTCCAGCTGGGTAGGATATTTGCTGTCCTTTCTCATTTAACAAAACCATATAACCTTGGCCCCCAGGAGAGAATAAAACGTCTTTATTCCCAAAGGCATATTCTAATGCAACATTAGGAAAGGAAAAAAAAGCCCACTCTCACCTGAGCAGTTCCACTGTGAAGCTGTGCACCCGGAGCCGCTGCCTCGGAGCTCTGCCTTTGTCTCCCCGCTGCCCGGGGCTCCACACCGGTCTCTCCCCAGACCCGGCTCTCCTTTAACCTATTCGGCACCAGGTGGACTTGCTTGGCTGCAGCCTGTCCCACATCAACCTGTTGACAGAGAACAATGGTAAAAAACACACAGGAAATATGTTTGTAAATAAAATTTTTTAAAAAGCATACCTTCATGTGTAGATTCTTAACTCAATTCACCAAACTTTCAAAAAGGAAGAATTAGAAGAGAAAGAAAGCAACAACTGTACAGTATAGGGGGGGGGATATATATATATATATATATATGTATATATATATATGGTTGTTGGCAAGATCCAGATCCTTCCTCATCAATAGAATGAGACCAATTAAAATTAGTGCCTCTGTTACATACGCTCTAGAAATAATCTCTAAAGATAACTGGCTTATTGAAAACTACATTTAAGAAAAAAAGAAAAACCAAACAAAAATGTCACATTTTAAAACTGCACATGAATTCATTATTAACCTTTGCTGGGAGTGGATCCAGTGTGTCTTTGTAGTTTAAATTCTTATTAATTAAACTCTTAGTTTCCCATCACTGAAGTGAACCTAATTAATGCAAACATAGAAGAGCTTAGGATGCTGCTTACTGTGTTGAGGCAGGTAACTCGAGCTTTCTGCAAGATGAGTGGCAGTGCCTGTGACCAGTACCCAAGTGACAAGGTGAAGAAACTGGGGACCGACTGACTGGCTGACCTTGAGAGAGCCCAGCACTCTCCACAATGCAGTCAGGAGACGGAGCCGCCACAGTGGAGGCCCCTGGCGTTGGGAGCAGCTGGGAGTGGGGCCTGCGCTAGCAACCTCACAAAGGGAAATGGTGGAGTTGCCAAAGTGGAGCATGAATGACAGGGGCTGGGCAAGCCAAGCCTTAATTTGTGGCCTCTCAGTGTTCGGCTACTGTTGCCAACTGTGTTCATGCCTTCCTCCCCTTCGTACCCATGCAGCCTGCGGGTGTTTGGGGGCACAGTACCGTTCTTTATTCCCTGCTCTTCTCCCAGTCCCAGCCATCAATGGACAGCACAAGCACCATCTTTCAGTGACCTGTGAGTTGGAGATGTTTCTCCATCTCCTGGGGGGTTCTTTATTCCCAGCACCCCACCCTCCCAAGCAGTTAGGGAGATTCGTGTGGGACCACCTCTGGCGCTCTCTCCCACTGAAGTCGTGGGCAAGAAAGGCACTTCAGGGTTCCCCCGGCTGCTGCTTTATCCTGTTACAAAGCTGGCTGTTGATGTACACAGTTCCTGCCGTGGCAGCCTCGGATGGAGTTATGCAAACCGAAACCGCAGTGTGATCCATGTAGCCTTCTGTGAGGTGGAGTTGGAGAGGAGGCCTCCAGGAGGTGCTGTCAGTTGGCCGATCATTGAAGTGGACCTGCCGTGGGCACTTCTAGCTAATGCTGTGATAGCCCGTGTATAGCAGAGTTCTATTTCTAGGGAAACCTTAAAGTGGCTAGGAAAGAGTCAAGTGGGATGACTAGGTTTAACCTGTACTTGGGTCCAGAGGGAAACATTCTTTTTTGTTTCCCCCCTCGGGGGTGCAGCAGGAACTAGACAACACCCTGGACAGCTCACAGACCAACAGAAGGATACTATGCGAGTGTGTTGTCATGTTCAAGAACGAAACCACCGAGAGCAGGGTCTTTTTCATTTACATTGCCATCGGCGCTGAAGGCTTTTTACACAATCTGGGCACCTTTGGAACTCCTAAAAATTGATAAGCCACAAATATGCTTTTAATAGCAAATCTGAATTTTACATTCCTTGTATACAAAATAACAGACCACACCAAACCCTTTGCCATCGAGTCGATGCTGACTCATAGCGACCGCGCTTGCAGGGTTCTAAGACTGTCATGGTTCCGTGAGCAGAAAGCCCGCTCTTTCTCTGCAGAGCTGCTGCTGGTGGTTTCAAACTGCCAACCATGTGGCTCGCAGCCCGCTGAATGACCGCTACACCACGAGGGCAACTAACATTTGGGAAAGAATGTTGCTGTACAAAGGGCTATCCAAAGAGGGCTACTATGCATAACAATCTCTTCACCTCTGGATTTGCCATGTGGGAACCTCAAATTTAGGGTGAATTGGGGGACACACGTTTACCGTCTGATGGGCGGCCTTCGTGAGCTGCAGCCAGGTATGTGCCCTGAGGAGGGGAGATGGGCTCACAATGGCTCCAGGTGAGCCAGGGACCATGAGTACTCAGGTGCTGCACTAAGGAGGGGCAGGGGGGGAACTGCTGATGGAAGCTACAGCTCGCAAAAAGGACCTGATTCAAGGTATCAGCTGGGGCCTTCAGCAATGCTGGCTTCCCAGTATGGCCCCTGCACTCCATCAGGGAGACCAACAGTTTCAGAATTCTTATTGAAAAGTGATTCTCCTCACTCAGTTTTAGAGACCAGATCCCCATGAACAGCAGAGCAGGCTGGGCAATAGATCCCCCTTGGCAATAGTGACAGCAGCACCCCCTTGGAGCTGCCAGAACTATGAGGGGTGATCAGCTATGCATACCATCCTCTCCACTGAGGCTGAGGGCCCCAGACTGCACTTTTATGGAAAATGTATCAATCGCTCTGAAACTACCTCTCATTCCTAATTGTACTTGTGTGAGAGTGTCTGAGAACTTTAGAAGAAGGCCTAGTTTATGGACCACAGTCTACGTGCGGGAACAAGACCTCCTTTTGAGGCGGTCTTATGTTTGCTGAGATTGTAACGGTGTGCTGTGTTCCAGTTCCTCATCAGCACATACTTCTGAAGGAACAAACGCTTGTTACAGGACGCAACTACTTATAAACCAACAGGCCCAACCTCACTGCCTCTGGGTCAATTCCAACTCAGAGACCCTCTAGGATAGAGTAGCACTGCCCCATTGGGTTGGCAAAACTATAAATACTATGAAAGCAGACCAATCTCTTTTCTCCCAGGGAATAGCTGGTAAGTTTGTGCTGCCAACGATTTGGTTAGTTAGCAGCTGAGAACTTAATCACTGCACCACCAAGGCTCATGGCAACATACTGTTCCTTCAGCTACGAACACCTGAGCCAGGGACAATTTGGACACGCCCTTCCATATCACATACATGGATCCTTATTTTGAAGTAACGGAACCAGGCGCATGTGCAACTTCCCAATCTCCAAAAAAGCTCCCAGTCTTGGTTACACAAACCCACCGAGTGGCCTTCCCTACAGGACAGGGCAGAACAGCCCCTTTAAGGGGGTTTTCAAGACTGTAAATCTGTATGAGCGCAGGCAGCCTCAGCTTTCTCCCAGAGTGGCTGCTGGGTGCGAACTGCCAACCTTTCGGTTAGAGGCCCAATTTCTAAGCCGCTAAGCCACCAAGGGCTATTTAGTGTGAGAAGAGCTCCCTCTTGAGGGGAACTGTACGCACCTGCTCCCAGTCACCTCCAGATCCCACCGACAGACTTAAAGACAGCACTTGTTCATGATCTGCAAAAGGTCTGTCCATTTCATGGTCCCAAGACTTCTTTAAGTATTTTGCCCCCAAAAGTACAAATCTAAAGTTCATTAACCAGTCTGTGAAACAACTAAAGCAACGGGATATTTTAGTTTCTAATAAGAGAATTCTGTCTGACTGAAATAAGAGACCTCGGGGGCTAGGCGACTGACAATTCATTCTGGCCTTTGAGTGACCCCGGGTAGGCAAGCTAAACTATTGTACAACCATCTTGTGTCATTCTGGGAAACTGAGGACAGGGCAGCTTATGTTGGGGTACTTTGATTTTGAACATTTTCAAGTTTGGTTTTGGAAGCAAGACAAAATCACAAGTTAACAAAGCAGTTACTTAAGGTTTTAAACATATATGGAAAACCTCTATATCAGCTGCTCTCAACCTGTGGGTCCCAACCCCTTTGGGGGTCGAACAACCCTTTCACAGGGGTTGCCCGATTCACAACAGTAGCAAAATTACGGTTATGAAGTAGCAACAAAAATGATTTTATGGTTGGGGGGTCACCACAACATGAGGAATTGTATTAAAGGGTCGCGGCAGTAGGAAGGTTGAGAACCACTGTTCTGTATGATAGTGCCATTGTCAATCTATTTGAGCACTGAAAGTATTAGAGAAATAGTCATTATTAAATAGATACTGGTATTTCGAGAAATTCATCTTCAAATCATCTCCCTGCCTACATACATCCAGGCTGCTTGTGGTGTTAACAGAAATTAACTCAGGTCTTCGGAATGCAGATTATTGTTACTGCTTTCTTTGGACTCATAATCAAAGTACTCTAATTAAAAGAAAGAAAATATTTTGATGGAAGCTCTTTGGGAAAAAATGTTTTATGTTCTGTTCTCTGCATATAAAAATGGTTTCACAATAAGCTTTATTTGATGAAGAAACTGAAAATTTTGGTGGATAATAATTAGGATTTTATATCAGTGGATACAGCAGCTATCAGTTTTGAAAATGGCTTCTTTTACATTTCAATTAAGTTGATGAAACTGAAGCCTCCAGAGGAGGAAAAGGCGAGGGGAAAGAAGCTTGCTTGGATGAGTGTAGAGGACGTGGTGACCACTGCTTAGCGAAGACTGCATCGAGGAAGCGACTCTTTTGTTTTGTTGCAAACGTCATAAAAACACGAAAGTCAATAAAACTGTTAAAATAAGTTTCCATAATTAGCAAGATCAAAATCCAGTGGCTTTTTATTAAACATGAACTTTTGCTCTGCCGGCTACAATACGTAAATAGTGCTGACAATCGGTTTGTGAGACACTCGCTACAGTAAAATGTAATTGTACCATGAGAGAAAGGTGACAATCAGAAGATCATGAAAAAATTACATATTCTCACTGGTAGTTAATTAGCCATGCAAAACCTCCTCAAACAGATCTTCTCTTCTATTAGGAATGATTACTATGCAGGACTACAGATGTCAATACCACAGTCATTCAAATACTTCTTTCCCTACTAATTGAAGGTTGTAAAGCTCTGGTGCCAAGGTTTTGCTTCCAAAGAGCTAATTTATGACTAGAAGGATATTTTATGTCTTCAGTTGCAGCAGCTACAAAATTCAGCAAATCAGAACCATCTGTGCACTGATACTTGACTCACCCGTCATCTCGCAGCCTATCAGTCACATTGGTGTGCATCCTGCATTCTTGGCTCAGGAACACTTGTGAGGATCCAAAGTTCATAAGAAATATTAAAAGTGAATGACATCCTGACCCTGCCTTATTGTACACACATGGGGGGGGGTGGCGGGGGGCAAAATGAAAAATAAGAAAGAAAAGAAACAAACAAAACCACCCCCCCCCCTTTTTTCATGCATATGGATAGTATCAAGAATCAGACAACTCCTTGTCAGTCCAGTACTGTGGCTAACAGCGGGCTCAGGTGTCTGCTACCCTCTTCAGAGATGTTTGAAGGCCCAACTAACTAACTGTAAGATCAGTGGTTTGAAACCACTGGAGAAAGATGAGGCTTTCTACTCCCGTGAGGAGTTACTATCTTGGCAGCTCCCATAGGACGTTCTGTCTACCTGGTCCTGGAGGGTCGCCGTGAGATGGAACTGGCTCCATGGGAGCGAGCCGTTTTTGTAATTTTTTTTGGTGATGGAGTCCGTTTGAAGATGGCGGGGTCAAATAGGAGGTGTAACTGTTAAATATGAGTTTATTAATTTCTTTTTTCTACAGGTTGGAATATCAACACATACAAATAACTTGGTTAAATCCAAGAACATTATCTTCACTAAACTCTGGCCAGGCTGGTAGGCGAAACCAGAGGGTAACAAAGAAGTGAAGTCAGAGTAGGAGGTAATCATCTCGCCCTGGCCAGGACTCCAGGGATCGCCCTGCTCCGCTAACAGAACACAAAAGGCTACAGAGCCTGCTCTTTAAGAACTTGCAAGGAACTTTCTCTCTGAAGGCTGAGATCATGCACTTGCATTGAATTACAAGAAATGAGAATTAAATATAATGAGCAAGAAACGGGTTGTCAGACTCATGTCAGGGCCTAAACCAACTCTGTTAACAGAAAGGAATCTCAGGGCTGCATTACTCACTTTTGGATAGCTTGTAGTAGCCGTGTTTACACTGTGTCCATTAGTAGAAAATTCCAGCGGTCCTAACGGTCGTCCACTTGGGTTCAGAATTTTCCTGAGCATTTGATAGTTTGGCTTTTCATCATATGCTAAGCCATGAGCACATTCCAAATATTGGGCTATTTCATCTGTGAAATATTAAATGTTTTCAAGTCATTTGTAATTAGCAAGAACTGTTGAAACTCCAATATTCGCATCTTTCCCCTCTCTCTCTCTCTCTCACATACACACCCTAAAAACAGTAAGAATGAAACAAATCAGTGAAAAGACATTCAAAGGGGGGAAAAAAAGTGACCTACAAATTTGACAAGATGAGAAATGGTAATGTTAAAAAATCTTTCTTGAAGTGTTTACAATTCATTAATCTTAAAGAAGGAAGTGAATTTTAATAATTATAGTTAGTGGTTTTAATTCATTGGATGCCAACTACTAAGAGCTACATGGAGAATATGATAGTACAGACATGCTTCATGCTGTCGATTTTATGTTGAACCTTCAAAAACACCATTAAAAAACATCGCCTTTGCGTCAGTTCTGGCTCACTGCGACAGTCCCTGTGGGACAGGAGTGTTTCCAAAGCTTAAATCTTTCTGGGAGTAGATCAAGTATTTCATTTTCAAAACAGATGGTGGATTCGAACTGCTAACTTTTTCAGTTACGAGCCGAGTGCTTCACTCCTGTGCCACCAGCGCTCCTTCGTCAAAACCAAGTGTTTTCACTTGTGATTGTAACAGCCCATTTAATAGTTACCCCGACGTTACTTTAGGAGCCATGACTGGACTCAGAGTGCCAGCCTGCGGGGGCTCCACACAGGAGGCCACAGTGAAGCCCTGTGCACTCCGGGCGGGGATTCCCCACCACAGAGCAGAGGGTAGAAGTGGCTGCCTTGTAAGGTCACTGCTTCAAACATCTGGCGGTCAGCCAGTCAATGCTGACTAACAGGGACCCCTGTGAGTTTCTGAGACTGCAACTGTTTACGGGAGTAGAAAGCCCAGTCTTTCTCCCTCAGAGCTGCTGGTGGTTTTGAACGGCTGACCATGCAGATTGCAGCCCAACAAGTAACCACTACACCACCAGGGCTCCATAATGAACATACGGCTGCACTTGGATGTCAGTAGTTCCATTGTGATGAACGACACAAAGACCTGGGGTTAGAAAGCCCAAAGGGAAGGACACGCTTGCTATGTCTCAAGTGAAAAGAACCTTGGGGGGGGGAAGAGGGGGGAGAAGCAAGCTTCAAGTTGCAATATTGAAAGATTCTATGAGCAATATATAAAGTACAAATACACATATACATACGTATGTATGTATGTTTGTATATGTGTGTACATGACCATGCAGAAAGCATCAAAAGATGATGGAGAGAATACACAGAAGGCATGTACCATTCAGAATAAGTGAAGTTCAGGAGGGAGCGTGCGTTCAAGAACGGATAACACTGAAGGAACAAGTCTAAGCTGCATTGAAGGCAATGGCAAAAACACAAGGCTCCAAGAATTACCGAAAGCCAATTGCAATGATTCCTCACATGGACAGCATGCTGGAGGCGCGCGCTGTCTACACCAGGAAATCTGGCAGACAGATATCTGAAAACTGCCTGTTCATGCACATGGATCAAGAAAGATGCTCCAAAAGAATGAGGAGATAATCAAACATATCATTAATATCATGCAAAATTTTGCTGAAGATAATTCCAAGAATGGCATATAGAGAGAGCGCTCCAAGAAATGCAAGCCCATTCAGAGGAGAGTGGAGAACAAGGGATCCCACTGTCGAGTTCCAGCTGGCTCTTGCCTGAGAGTCCAGACGAACAGAAAGATGCTTCTGCTTGTTTCACTTGCAGACTATGAAAAGGCATTTGTGTGGATCGAACAAACTGTAGGTAACAGTTCAAAGAATAGGAGTTCCAGAGCATTTAACTGTGTCCTGTGGAACCTGTACATAGACCAAAAAGCAGTAGTTGAAGCAGAATAAGAAAGTACTGCGTGGCTTAAGATCCGGGAAGGCATGCATTTGTGTTCCATCCTTTCAGCTTATTCATTTTATCTGTATATGAAGCGCACACTCTAAGAAGCCAGACTATGTAAGTTAGAATTGGAATAAGACTCATTAACAACCTGTGATATGCAGGGGACACAACCTTGCTTCATGAAAGTTAAGAGAACTCGAAGCCCTTCCTGATGAAGGTCAAACACTGTGGCCTTCAGTATGGATTTCAAGTCGATGCTAAGAAACCCCCAATCCTCACAACTGGAACAATAAGCAGGATCAGTAGAAATGGAGAGAAGTTTGACGTTGTCACGGATCTTGTTTTATTTGAATGCACAGTAAATATCCCCTGGATTTCCCGTAGCACTTGGGAAATCAAGTGACATACAAATCTATTGCAAAGGTCTATTTCAAGTGTTAGCATGTCAGGATGTCACTCTGAGGACTATGGTGCTACCAACCCCCACCCATGGTATTTTCAATCACCTAATACGCACGCAAAAGCTAGACAACAAATAAGGAAAAATAAAAAAGAATAACTGGCACACTGAGTTAAATTATTGGCAAAGAATATTCATCAGACTCTAGCCTGCCAGAAGAATGAACGGATCCATGTGAGAAGATGTACAGCCAGAATGTTCCTGAGATATGAGGCTGGCAAGATTTCAGCTCATGTGCTTTTGGCATGTCATCCGGAGGACCCATCTCTGGAGAATGATGTGCTTGGGACAATGGAGTATCCGCAGAAAGAGGACCGAGAAACCTGCAGTGAGGAGAGCACAGGACTAGCAGCATTCTATCCCGTTGGACATGACGCTGCCACACGTCAGAACAAACCTGATGGAACCTAATTTATTAGAAAAAGCAATTTCGGGTAGATGCCCAATCAAAAATTGGGATTCAAGCAAATGATAAATACAAAAGGCAAATGAACTGGTTTTCACCCCATCGTGAAGATTCTTAAAAAGAACAGCAACCATCTCCTTCTCCTACTGAGAGACGTCGTTCTACGTGCGTGGTCCTGAGCTCTTTTCTGAAAATGTGAAGCAAAAGTGGTTCCAGCAGGGATGAGTGGTAGGAAAGTCTGCTTCCATGAACATGTGCAGGGTTGGACTTTCACTTCAAGAGACACCAAGATCAACGGGGCAGGAGAGTCTGCAAAGACAATGCTCTACGCTGTGGGGAATCACGAGTGGGATGTGGCAAGCAGCCATCTAAGATACAATTCTTGGTCTCTTCTTGTTAAAGCCAAGGAGAGCTAAAGAAAGAGAAAAGACTCGAGGAACCAAAAGGACCAATGGACACAGCAGCCTCGGCCTCTGTGACTTTGCAGCAGAACCAACGGGCGCTCAGCTGCCCTCCAGCCACTCGGATTGAGAGTACAGTGCAAAGTCTCGGTCAGGGGGGGAGGAAAACGCAGGGCAAAATCCATAAGCCTGCCAGGACCAGACTTGCTGATCCGATTGAGACTGGTGAGAAGCTGAGACTGTGTGGGGGAAGCCTCTGACTGAGCGCCTGGAGATGCAGCCTCCCTGGGCTTCAGCTTTTCTTCACACTGGGAGCCTCCGAAGGGAACATTACGCCCCTGGGGAACGTGGACCTCAGGATGATCATATGAGCATTTGCCCCAAAACTGAGCCAGAAAGCAGAAAGGGGCCAAAGAGAAATGCACATGAAAATACACACCCCACGAAGGAAGTGTTCAGAGTGCTGTTTAGTTGGGAGGGTGGCAGTAATGTCCCCACACAGATGTGTAGAACTTGTTGGATGGAAAGTTAATTTGCACTGTTAATGTCCACCCAAACCGCAATCAATTTCTTTTCCTAAAAAAACCATTACGATTATTTTATTTTATTTTTTTTTAAAGAGTGACAGTTCTGGACACCCATGGGACGGGTCCTAACTCTATCCTATAGAAGTGCTGAGTCAGAATCGACTGGATGGCAGCGCTTTTGGTTCGGGTGACAAAATGCGCACGCTTGGCTTTATGTGGGGTGTGAGAGCACTTCAATTACATAGTTAATTTATTTTGTTTTGTTTTTTCTTTACTTTCTAATTCATGAGCGACATGGGATTCTGTTACCCACAGCCAGTCTACCAGACTGCTCTTCGCTTGCCCCGCTGCTGCACCACTTTCACAAGTGATGTTTCTAGAGCCCTCAGAAGCAGCATCCAACAGCAACAAAGATCCTTTATGTGCATGCCGATGCTATCTTCTTGTTCTTTGGGCCCGTGAGGTTGGGTACTTGTGACAGTTCCACTAACCGAAACTGCACGAATGGAGATGGGAGCCAACTACGTTGGGGACGCTTCTCCCAAACCACCCTTACCAGCCAGCGGGAGACTCCTGGCACTCCCCCAGCTGACTGCAGCTGTGCCGCAAAGTCGTTTGGGGTCTGGGGGTGGTAAACACCAAGTACCAGTGGGGTGGGGGAGGAAGAAGAAGAAAAGAACTTGCTCCGCTCTAAATTTATTATTATAAACCTGGAGCTTAGGCTATTGTAATGTATCACTGGTTTAAATGTTGGCCTTTCATGCTAGGTTTATTGAATTAAGTACATTTTTTAATTTACGACTGCACTTCCAGAGCGATAAAACAAGATGCTTTGAGTCTATAAAATGATGGTATTCCTGAGCCACCTGCTTCATAAGACAGTGCAGTATGGACTACGATCACTAGCATTTAGAGAAACAGAAACGTTTGAAACTCACACGTTCCTAATCAAGGAGACCGTCACTTATTATGAAAGCGTCAATATCCAACTGTTTGAAGCACCTTTGTTTATGCTTTAGAAAGAAAAATGTGCATTTTTATAAAATAAAAATCACGCTTAACCAAATGGCTCGAACTGAAAAAGAATGAAGGTGCACCCAGATTCCTTGTTCCCGCCAGTCTTCCTCACTTATCGCAAGCAAAGCAAGTGTCGAAGGATAGGCACCGGCTGGTCCCCAGCACTGGCGGAGGGTGTGCAAGCTGGGGGCTTTCTTTCCTAACCTGAAAACTTCCTTTTATATGCAGGAGGGCCAGGAGAGAGAGACACAGAGATGTACAAGGCCAAGCACAGCATTTCCCACCCCTCTTTCTCATGATCCCCTTGAGTAAGAGGTACATTGTAAGGTATATTGAACATGCCAATAGGAATGTTCACCCAAAAGGAATACTGGCCTTTTGATCAAGTTATTCAGGGCAAGTCAACAAAAACAAAAATAAAACTTTCATTTGCCAACCCCTCCCTCCAGATGAGCGCAGTATACCTGATTTGTTCTCCTTCCGTCAGAAGAGAAAGCGGGAGGCAAGGTTGACACTGGGATGAACCACGGACTTGGGAGGTGGAAAAGATACATTCCCTACGATAATGACAATGATGGTCTCTATTCAAGGTGGGGCTGCAAAGATAAGTCAGGGATGGCTTGGACTTCTTTTCAACTCTCACATGCGCACTGTGCGGTGACATGGCCGCAGCTCGAGGGTCAGGACAGATCCTCTCGTTCAGCAGCCGGCTAAAGGCTCACCCTGTGATTGCCCAAGAGAACTATAGAACACGATGGATGATCTGTCTGCGAGGAAAGCAGGTCTGACAGCAGGAGCTGGCTCGTGTTCCTAAGACAATCTAACTCAATTTCAAATCAGCGCTGAACAGTATGCCATGTATGAATATACAAATGACAGGAACTTGGGTAATTTTGAATTGACTTACTATTTTATACTGGTAATAACTGTCAATTAAAGAATTCTAAAAAAAGGTCTATACTAACTTAAAAGGATAAAAAAGAGTGAAATGTAACTCCAAATCCCAAGGTCACATGCCAATGACAATCCCTGTTTTAAATATATATGTGTTTGTGTGTGTGTGTGTGTGTGTGTAAGCAACAATCCATTGTTTAATGATTTTTCTTTTTCAAATCTCTTCAATTACAGAGGAACAAATACCGAAAGCCCCAACTTTGAAAATGCCAGTTATGGTCAATTCTTCAACTTATGCATGCATGACTCTTAAAATAGGGGGCTTCAAAATGTTTGTGGGAATATTCCATTCTCTTTTCATGTCACATTTCCATACACTTGTAGAAGCACCTTTTGGTCTATCTGTTAAAAAAAGACTGCCACCAGCCTTCATGCGTCCCTAGCCACCTCTCTGCCACTCTGAAGGCGCTTCCTCTAGCCTGGTGCAGGGACACGGTCTCACTGCTGTGAGTGGGTTCCGACTCAGCAACCCTGTAGGGCAGACTGCAACCGCCCCTGTGGGTTTCCGAGACCTGAGTCCTCATGGAGTCAAACGCCTCGCCTTCGCTCCCTGAGCGGCTCATGGTTTTGAACCGTTCACTTTCCGGCTAGCAGCCCGACGTGTAACCGCTACGCGTGAGCGTTGACAAACAAGAGTGATGCATGCGGGGACGTGTAAGTCATGCAGCGGGACACGCGATCGTTCGACTTACGGCAGCTGCTCCCGGCAGGAGCCCACGTGAACACTGACTCGGGCAGCTCATCCAGCAAACTGGAACAAAACAGACCCAGTCACACACGTCGGATTGGCTTCCACCCGCGGGCCACTTCTTTGATCAGAACCTGACATTCAGGTCCTCCATGGTGGGCCCCCTGAATCAGCTTCCAGTGACCTGTTCCCCACACCTGCGATGGGTGGGCGGTCGCACAGGTAAGGAGGATCAAGAGCCCTCGATGTCCGTGGACCAACTGTCTACCAGCCAGGCGGAAACTACTCGATGTGAACCTGAGGCCCCGAACCAAAGCGGCCGCTCCCAGGTGGAGCCTGGCTCCTGGCAACCCGACGGGCCAGCGAGGCCCTGCTCGCAGGGTCTCCACGATGTCGGGGAAGCACACAGCCACAGCCTTCTCCCAGAGAGCCTGCTGGGTTTGAACTGCTGACCTTTTGGGTTAGCAGCTGGGCTCACAGTTTGTGCATGTACACATGCAGACAGTCATGCTCATTTTCTTAAAAACAATCAAAATTTATAGGAGAAAAACATTACCTGGATTTTAACAGTATTTTTCCCTCAGGTACTATACCACTTGAAAGGGACCTATCATTTAATTATCTATGTGTGCTACTCACCATTGGTCCATGTTTTGTGCTACCTTATAATTAATCAGGCAAACAAGAAATATCCCAAAGACAAAAACAAAGCACAAACAAAGAACAAACTCCGATCTAACACTTTCCGGTGCTTTAGGTGTAACAGGGACAACTCTCTTAATTTGCTTCCGGTCACAAAGATACAAACAACCAATATGAGTAATGGAGCCTTAAGCTCAGGGAGAAATGCAGTAATAAATGCATCGCTCTAACGTCACCCTTTCTGAGGAAGATGCAGGGTAGTCTAAAATGATGACTGAATAGATAACTATGACCTTGTGGGTAAATCTGACATTATGATTTCTATAACAACTGAATAAATTATGATCATAGATTCTATAAGAATTAAAAACTATATATGGTTTATCTGAATTATAAGCTTCATCGTGTGATATTAGGTTTACTCATCTATAGATCTACATTGCTAAATCAAATCAAAATAAACATATTAGCATATCAGTCCCCAAATATAAATGGAATTTATTAGAAATATATTTTATTATAAGACATACTTTTATGTGTCCAAATATACTTAAGTAGATATATTTATTATAGGTATTTACAAAGAAAGTATTTCTTTCTAGATGGTAGGTGGGGTAGGAAGGTAGAAGACAAAAACAAATCACATTGGTATAGGGCATATTCAAAGAAAAACACATGATTATTAGAATTAAAATGGTAGTTTTAAAAATAAAATGTATCAGTCAAATTAGGTAAGCCGAATTGGAAAATTAAATACCAAGGATGTTTATATATGCTCATTACTGGGCATTAGAATGACCCACCATCTGATAACCCTCTGTTACATGAAGGATACTAAGGGCACGTCAGTCCTGCAGTAAAAAACTGGTTACCGTAGATAGTTCTAATATTGACTTATAGAAATGTGTTAGTTTTGGGTAAGGGACTAGAATGATCAAGCTTCCAGGTGGAAAAAGATTACAAGTATGTCAGGATTCACAAATGAAATCTGTATTATTCTGAAATGCAGGTCAGCCTTTCTCTCTGTCGAGAACAGACACCACACTGAATTTGGAGATTAATTGCTACAGATCCAATGCCCTCTTTGTACACATCTGTTGTGACTGGCCCTTTTCCGGTTGTGATATTGCATCTGTGGATAGCTACTGCTGAACAGGTCTGGGTGCATAATGCAAACCTACCTCTTGTGTGTAACATGCGACTGAGTTTTTCTCAGGCCTGATCACAGACAGCAGAGTTCTCTCCCTATTCTCCGTCTGACCTGATTTTCCAGTGCACAGATTCTAGGTGCTAAGAATTGAATGTGGAATATTAAAAATGTTTTCTGGGGCTGAAAGGTGAGTTTTGCTAGTTTTTTTTTTCCCTTCAAGAGCCAAACGTACTCCTTCTAAGATGGAGGATGAAGGAAGAGGTACGAGATGCTCACTGGGGACACGGGAGTCCTACCCGTGCACTGTGGCTTTGTAGAGTTAACATCAATGACCACAGGCTCAGACTGCCTCTGTGTACTTGAACAAGGCTAATTTGAAAATACTATCACCTGGACTCTAAGCTTTGGAAAGCACCCTGTGTAAGGTGATATGCCTTGCACTTTACATGTTTGCATTAGAACTCGTGTACATGTGGTTTTAGAGGCGTTATTTTAATGCATTTTATGTCTGCTACCTGTTTGGGGCTCCTGACAGTATTTTTGAAAGGGATTTGCTTGGGCTTTCATGCTGAAGGAGTGGCAGGCTTCTCAGGGGCATGCGCTCCCTCAGACGTGTTTCAGTAAATGATGGAGTACTTGCAAGTTCGTACTTTGTTTTCGCAGTCTGGACGGCGGCAGGGTCCCTCAGGTCCCGCTCCCAGGGCAGCTTCCCACATAACCACCGCAGCATGCAGTAGCCAAGGATCTCAAGGTCACTTCGTCTGGACAGGGCTACAGGAATAAGCATCAAGAGTTAAAAGATGAGGGATAGGGGAGGGTTTTTTTGTTTTGTTTTCTTTGAGAAACTGAGGAAACGTTGCATGAACTACGTTGATAAAATATGAGAATAGCCAAATGGGCAGAGAGCTTTGTTTGTTCAGCTGGCGCACAACTTAAAACGCCCAGGCGTTTGGCCCCAGTCCACAGACAGGCAGTGACTTGTTGCCTGTTGAAAGTAAGGGTCAGTTTCCTCACCTCCTCCGACTTCATCCTTCCCTCGTCTGGCCTGTCACATGAACTTGATCCCCACGGCCTCTGACATGATCCAGACAACCCTTAACCCGGCACCACCACTGTCTCAAAGAGCTGCGCAGTCAAACAAAGAAGTAAATGTCTGCAACTCAATTGCTAACATATGTTCCAGGAAGTGCACGGGGTCCGCATTGGTCATGCCGAGACCCTTGGCGTGCAGATTAAACAGTGATGGCCTCTCCTGGTCTCCCGGCTCGAGCAGCCTTCCAAGTTGGAAGAGCATGACAAAGCTGCCACCTAGCGTGCAGTGCGCACGCCGGGCTGCTTCAGAGGCTCGGCTTACACGGACCGCAGGACAGAACACGCTCGCTGGCTGTGCTGGCTACACGGCCGACAGCTTTACGGGTCTAATTTTTAAATGTCAGTCATGCCAAGCTAAAACTCTCACCTTGAATCCAGAACAAAAAATAAAAACGTGCAGCAATCTGGGCTGCGGGTGTGAAGGCCCATACGTGGGAGGTGAGCAGAGTGGAGAGGTAGTCAAATTTTGAAGACAGGCAAGCAGGAGCTTTTGCAATTTAAGACAGTCATTTATTAAAAACAAACAAAAAAGATAGTAAATTGTAAATACCAGTTGTATCAAACTAGTAAATAACAGTAGAATGATTTCATTATGATCTTATGTATTTTTTACAGTGCCTCATTTCAAAAGGTTGACAGTGAAAACTCAAGCCAAAAAGAACTGGTACTCCTAATCCATGAAATTACGGTCAAAACACTAACCAATACCCAGGAAACACACTCATCGTTTTCATACCCATTCTAAATAACGAGAAAATAGGCTAGAATTTACACTGTTCCCCTATTCCTTGAATGTTCATCTGGGTAGATATATATAATCTCCTAAGGACAATGACAATGCATGGCTATTAAACCTGTTGTAAACAGGTGTCCTATTTCATTAAATACTATTAAATACCTATTTCATTAATATTCTGAAAAGTCACTCTGTAAACTGATTTTTTTTAATTTTAAAAGTCATCTAACAGCAAGGCTGCCAGCACAACAGAACTACTTTCTTCTGTTACAATACGTAAGTTGTTATAAAAGCAGAAGACAAGATTAGCTCTTATGCATACTCCATCTTAACTGCTATTAGAGTATTGGATTATTAAAGGCCCTTCAATCTAGCAGAATGCTAGAGTCCCAAGGGTGCCATTTACTTTCTGCACAAGCTTCAACAATGTCCTAATGCAAGACTTGGCTCTCATATTAAAATAAAAACACCATCTCTGCCACGCTTTTCGGCGGCGATTTCTTCCGTGATCAATCTCCCGTCCATAATGGAGCGGCTCCCTTCGCACAGATGCGCTCGTGTCCACGATGCCAGTGCTCAGAAACCACCTCTGAAAACAATTTTTAAAATTCACCTCCTCTGATTCTCGAAAACGGTATCCAGACACCCAGTTGGATGGCAGGTCACACACACAACAGCCCTTTTGAGAAAGACCCATCAAAGCGAGAATGGGGTGAACCTTCCCAGCCACTTCCCTCCACCCCTCTACTGAGGATTTAATTGATGGGAAGCCGCACGTAGGGACACATCATTTAAATTTCTGAAGACAAGCCTCCATACATTGGTCTTCATTTAAAACCATCCTTGGAGAGTTAACTGTACTTCACTATTATAATTTTGTCTTACCTGATTAAAATACACAATCACATTTTAAATCTTATATTTATTTCTTTTCCTGCATTAATAACTATGATTAGGTAAATAAACGTTGTGCCCCCCCCACCCCTGGTAAATTCTATAGAAACAACAGTAATTTCAAAAAGAACCTCCCATAGACATACTTTTTCTTCACAAAAGACCCCCAAAATTAAGAAGGTTTCTGAGTACAAACACCTCACTGTAATTACTTCCCAGAGAAGCACTTTTAAGAGTCCGGTTTGTTTTAAACCCACTCGCTGGTCTCAAGTCGAATCTGACTCCTAGGGCGGAGTCGGACTGTGTTTTTGCACGGGGGACTGTAAATTTGCACGGGAGCGAACAGCTCCTTGGCACAGCCGGTGAGTCTGAACAGCTGACGTGGAGTTAGCAATCTGATGCTTAACCCACTGTGCCACCAGGCTCTTTTATTTATTTTAGTGGGGTTAACATCTCAGACGATACCAATGATTATGTATTCTTTTTAACTACTACACACAGAAGAGTAATTTTAACACCTCACAATTAATTTAAAATAAAATGCTGCATGACAATAGAATATGTGTATATCATAAACACAAATAATCAATCGTAGTTGAAAAGGACGGTTGAGATCTGCTATAAAAAAGATATTTTTTCCTTTTAAAGTTGCCTCTTTGATGATACCGTTTTCCAGCTTCCTTAGAACACATGCCAAGTGGGGCGTTCCAAAGAAAGAGCCATGGATTGGGACCTTTAAAGACTCGAGATCCAGAGCTCGGGCTGCCACTAACTGTTGGGTTTCTAACTCGGAAATTCAATGCTAGCAGGATATATATATATATATATATATATATATATATATATATATATATATATATGATGCATTTTCACTCAGTTGGGTAGAAAATACACTGTGATATATAATTTCATTTCCCCTCAAGGTAAAATATTTGTATATTTTAATACATAAACTTCTTTGGTGGCATTAGGTAATTAATATAATCGTTAAAAGTATGTTTCCGTTTGGATTTCTTCTTAAAAATCTCTAGTCAAGGTGCTATTGCTGAGAAATGTAACAAGATCTAGTAATTAACAGGATTTTCCTTCTAAACTCTTTCCAGTTAGATTTCAAATATTATTTGGCATCTAATTTTTATATAGCTTACAAATGTGAAGCAACATAAATGTCTCTCTTTTCTTGCAAGCCCGTGGCGTTCTCAAATAGTCAACATTTCAAAATGTATAAAGTACAGCCGAGAAGAACTCTAATGATAATAATAATAATAATAAAACACACACAGGTAGGGGTTTGGATTCTATTTCATTATAAGGCAGGTTTCCAAGAACAGCTGACACTGGAATGTTCGTGTAAAATAAAAACAACGGCTATGACTTGTGGGCCTGCTACTGTGCTTTCATATTGCCTCACGTCATCAACGCAGCACTCAGAGAACGTACTACTGTCCCTGTTCCCCAACAAGAAGGCCCTCAGAGAGGGGCGAACACTGGTTCAACATCACAGAGCAAAGCACTGGCAGAGTTCAGCATTGAAACCCAAGTGCCTCATTCCCAATTTGGTAACTGCTTTGCCTTTGGCATGATTTAACACTATTCAGGCACATGGCAACATCCACAGGTAGGGAAGCATCTAAAGCCAACATTGTACCGTCACACACGCACGGGCGGGCACGGTGGTGAGCAAGCAGATCAGAGCCCTGCCCTGCGTGCGGAATGAGCAAACACACTCGATGGCAACAAACCACCCCCACGTTCTTCCATGAAATGATGTCTTCTCAGTGACTTCGTACTTAGGAAAAGGGTGTTGGCTTGAAACCAGTCCACTCTATCAAGACAAACAGACAAAGTACTTGTTTCAAGTTCGGCCAATGTCATGAACAGGGAAAACGGAGGGGAGGAAGAAGGTAAGCGTTAAACCCCAAAAGGGTTTGAATATTTACAGTAAGTGTGTTTTTGCTTGTTCATTTCTTATACAGTGTGACATTATAGAAAATACACGCATGCAGACACATACGCACACATACACACAGAGAAATACTACGATGGGGAGTTTGGCAGGCAAATAATATAGTGAAGTGGAAAATTTTGCCTCAGATAGACAGAATCCCAAGGCCCAAAATACTCTGTGTGCTCAGCAACAACAACCAGAAAGCACAAAACATGTCAGCAGGACACTCACCTAATGAAAGGAAGAGTGAGTAAAAGCAGAACAAATTTCAAGCTTCTTCTTGCTTTTTTCTGTGTGTTTGTTTCCCACTAGTAACATATTCAATTCGGTGCTTTGCCAAATCAGACGTGCCCAGTGCTGGGGATCTTGCCGATGCCCACGGCCGCCTCCAGCCCTCGCAGCGAGGAGCCTCAGGCAAGCAGGACAGCTGGTGACACCTTTCAAATAAAAGACTAAGCTCGGGCCTCGCCCAGGGTTTTCAGTATTTTAAAAATTCTAAAGACTAGTAGTTTTATGAAATGCTACTCTCTGAGGCTTCGGGAATGTTATTATTCAACAGGGCAAATCTATCTTGCATCTTGGCCGCCATGCATCCTTAACTCAAACAAGCCGCTGATGACGGAGCCAGCATCGATTTAAAAATTCCCCGTACGACTGAGCGGATGGCACCCAGAACGAGCAGGGCCTCCGTGACTGGGTCTCTCAAGGCTCACCGAGAACTGTCTGCAGCCAAAGTTACCTCCAAGCAGAAACGCGCCGTATGTCTCCCTGACTACTAACAGATCCAACAGAGCGTATAAGTTGTTGGTTTCTCTAACCATACACCAGGGAGCTTCAAAATGTTTTTGTGAAAATGGAATTTAAAGATAATGGAATATTTTTTCAAGAACATTTTGAAGCCCCTCCATATTTTCATTTTACTTCACATCAGTTGAGTGTTTGAGTCGAGGGAAGGGAAACCGTGCAAGAAGTAACAGATAACTTGGATTTCATATTGGGTAGCAACTGGCAAGATTTTAAGAGTGTGTAATATATTCCTTTGCTCCATGCTGAATGTATTACATAAACAAATGGATGCTTGAAAAGTAATTTAGATATCAT